TTGTGACAAAATTAGCAAGGAATTCAACCAATGTTTGGCTTCGTCCTTTAGTGAAAATGGGAATAGTCGCAACATTAAGGCCTCATTGGTGAAATTTTGGATTCTCACTATATAGTAAATTTCCAAAAATTCATGCAGATGTTTGTAAGGATCATCATGAGCTAGTCTATGGAATGATGGGAGTATTTGGATAGTACTGGACTTAATCCCATAATGAGCAGCGATGGTGTCGAGTAATTGAATGTATGATGGTGATGTATATGCAGTGGGTGTGAAGTAATCCTTAAGGGTTCGGTTGGGCCCGTTTAGGCCATTCGGGTTCGCCATCTCTAATGGCTTGAAGTATGGATATGGATATTCAAGCCTAGCAACATGGGAAGAGGGTCAAGTTTCCTAAGAGTTCTTTCTAGTTCAAGGTCCAAACTCCACAATTCAAAGCGACTAGAACGGCGCCCGTGCATACATCACTCACACACACACACACACTAAGTTCCGACTCTGGTGCACTAAGTTATGAAAGCAAAATGCCAAAGGAGAAAATACTCACAGCGGTTTAACAAAAACGCTTTACTCGTCTTGTAGATGTTTGACGTATAGACCGTTGTCTCCAACCTCTACTTGAGCTCTCTATGTTTAGCACTTTAGTGCTTTGCTTGCGAGTATTTTTTTTTTTAGCACTTTAGTGTTGCGATTTGCATTTTAAAACTCGGTTGCACTCCGCTTGTACTTCAATGATAGCTCTTATTGCAAAAACTTTGCACACTTAGCAACACGAAAGTATAAAATCCTAAACTAAAAATTAAAATAAGAATGTAACTTTAAATTAATTAATTTCGCTAGAAGTCCTCGACAACGGCGCCAAAATTTGATAGGTCGTTTCACACACAAAAAATAAACATTAAACTATACCAAATTTCTTAGAATAACGGTAAGTCCAGGTATCGATCCACAGGGACAACGGGGAAATAAAAATGAAATTGAGAAATTGAATTAACAATTAAAAGTAGGGTTTGAGATACTGATTTTTGGAAAAATCCTAGGGTAAAGAATTCACCACTAACCACATAAATAAGACTTAACATCGGCCATCAATTGCAATCTGGTTTGAACAACACATATTTCACAACTACAAGTTTGAAACATTGATTAAGAGGATTGTTGCATTCAACGTACATGCACGAACCATCCCAAGTAGCATGAGTCATTTGCTCTAAATACACCAAAAGCGTGAGAAGTGCTATAAAGAGCTTTGATAACCATAGTTGCTGTAAAGGCCAAACGCCTCCTAAGCAGATTAAGGGCCACAAAAACACTTCCAAAGCAACCAAATGCACACCCCACTACGGGACGAGGAGCCTTAGCCTTGGTTTGGTATAATTTTGACAAATTAAAATTTGATAATTTAAATACAAAAACTAAATGAATCTCATTCCCAATCAAATTGTTAATAATCAAATCAATTTGTACAAGTCATTTTTGTTTCATAAACTATAAGTTACACTAAATATTAAATATTAAAAAGTGATAACCACTTCAAAGGCTGTGCGAAATGGGAGCATAAGGCCCATTTGGTATAATTTGTTGCAAGTTGAAAGTTAATAATTAGCTAGAGGCATCTCTCTTTCAACATTTTATTAATTATTTTTTTCAATAAAAAAATTACTTAAGCTATTTTGGCCTTGTAGCAAGCTAAAAATTAGCTAGAGCCATCTCTCCTTCAACATTTTATTAATTATTTTTTTAATAAAAAATTATTTAAGCTATTTTGGCCTTGTAGCAAGCTAAAAATCACAAAACAAAATTTGAAAAAAAAAAGTTATAAATAGTTCTAATAAACTGCGAAACATAATCTTATTAAGTAGTGGAATAAAATGATCATTCTATCAAAATATTTATTTTAATGTTTGGTTTATTAAAAAAATAATAAAAAATGCATTGCAAATAGAATTATCATTGCGCCATTACAAGGAACTGATCATTCCACAAGAAAGTTTGAGAAATGACCATTGTATTCTATTCGATCTCATTTCATTTTCATTCCACATTATTCCAGTAAATCAAATAGTGCATTAGTTTGTTAGTGAGAAGGGCTAGAGCTGTTGTATTCAAAGGGGTGACATTTTCCCCTTGGAGTGGTCCACTAAAGAAAGTGAAATATTTAGCATCTAGCTAGGGAATATACCTTGTCTCTTCCTTTCATAGCCTAGTCGAACACGAAAGCAACTTAACAATCATCTACATCAAATTGTTTCGTAGATACACACAACACACAAGTGAATTGAAAATGAAAACTAGCCAAATTTCAAAGAGTATCCAAACTCAAATGGGTCAATTTTGAAATAGAAATTAGCCCCAGCAACATACATGTGTAATAATCTCTATCTAGCAGCAGAGCATGACAATCAAAATTGCATGGTCGCGATTAATGATACAATTCATAGCACTAAGCTCTGTGTACATTCACATATGAACAAGAAACATGACTGATGGACAAGTGATATTTTACGAAAGAGATGAAAAAAAAAAATTTGAAAAAGAAAAAGGGTATGGATTCTTTTTACAAGAAGAGAAACAGAAGGTATGCATTTTTTTTAACAGGAAGAAGAAGTAATATTTTACAAAGCATATACTTATATGTTAGAATAGCTTTAGCAGACTTCATTATTAATTGTATAGCTTTATGATAGACTAGCTTTAACTTTATATTATTAATTGTATAGTGTTTGCTTTCGGTGGTAATGGTGGTATCCAATGCCCATTTTTCTCTCTATAAAGAGAGCCTTCATCTCTTTGTAAATCAATCAATATATACAAACATTTCAAAGTCTCTCTCTCACTCTATAGCTTCTCTCACTCTCTCAAACTAATCTTTCATGGTATCAGAGCCCAGTGTTACATTTCTGGCAATTTTCGATTTTTGTGTTTAGTCCCGTACACAGTGGCATACATCAAATCGCTCGGAATTTTCTCACGATTCCAACGGCACCTAGCCCGTTCTCAGAACACCCTCCACGCGCCCACACGCGCCGCCTTTACCTTCTGCGCGTCACCAGCTCCGCCACCACTATCACACGCGCCCGCACGCGCCATCTGTTGCCACTCACCTCCGCCACGCGCCTCCACGCACCCACACAACCGCGGCTGACGTCAGCCCTGCCACTCCCGTACGCCGCGCCTGCTATTGTGCGCCTTTCGTGCGCCGCTTCACTACATTGCACCCGTGTTCGCCAAAACGACTATTGTGCGCCGCGCCTGCGCCAGTTCGCTACCGTGCGCCGCTGCCTTCCTGCTAACGTGCTCCTCCCTGCACTCTGCTAACGTGCGCCGCTGACATCATCGCTGACATCATCTCTGTCCAGCAGCCTTTTCTGGCTATTTTCGACCTTCCGGACTCACTGGTACACTCTGTTTTACCAAATTTTGCTCCTACAGGTCTCTTCCTGCTGCTTTAATCCTACTTAACTAGTATTATGGATCGTCTTGACACCTCCCATCCCATTTCCGTTATTCTGAATGGTTCAACGCCTCTCTACTGTGACAATCAGAGTGCCATTCAGATTGCTCACAATGATGTTTTTCATGATCGCACCAAACATATTGAGATTGATTGTCCTTTTATTCGCCAGCATGTCACCTGTGGAACTGTTCATCTTCTTCCTATTGCTTCAGTCGATCAACCCACTGATATCTTCACTAAGGCTCATCCTCCTGGCCGCTTCAATGATCTTGTTTCCAAACTCAACTTGGTTGATGCTTTCCCTCCTTGAGTTTGCGGGGGGCTGTTAGAATAGCTTTAGTAGACTTCATTATTAATTGTATAGCTTTATGATAGACTAGCTTTAACTTTATATTATTAATTGTATAGTGTTTGCTTTCGGTGGTAATGGTGGTATCCAATGCCCATTTTTCTCTCTATAAAGAGAGCCTTCATCTCTTTGTAAATCAATCAATATATACAAACATTTCAGAGTCTCTCTCTCACTCTATAGCTTCTCTCACTCTCTCAAACTAATCTTTCATTATATATGTTTTTTCTATAGAGAGAGAGAGAGAGAGAGAGAGAGAGAGGGTTGAGTGATTAGTCGCGAAGAGCATGGGCGTGCCAGCAAAGAAGCATGGAGATACAGCGGTTGAGGATATAGCAGCGCACCCTCTGTTGCTGCAACATCGCTAAACACCTTCTCTGAAATTCCAATATGGTGGTTGTTATTGCAGATGATGATGATCCTCCTCCTCTGCCCTTACTTCTATCATGGTTAGTAATATTCATGTTGCTCATGAATCAGGATTTTCTAGACTGATTTTTTTTAGAATGATTGTAGAATGATAAAGTTAGAGAGGGAGATAATCGAACGGCGGAGTTAAATAGATCCACCACACCACACGATAGAGCCCCACGACGACGCCGTTCCTTGCACAAAAGCCTTATTGTCTTTGTCTTTGTCTTTGTGTTCGTTCTCTAGGAAGACTAGTGCAACAATTGGCCTCTTTATAATATATATATTCTGGTGCATGCCCGTGTGAAAATAATATTGATATCACATACGTTACAAACATTAATTAAAATAAATCAATTCAAAATGATAACAATTTCACTAATACAGAAAATTGCATAAATTAATTCAAAATGACAGCAATTTCATTGCAACATAAAACTTCACACATAAGTCCAAATAACAAATTATAGTTTTGGCAAACTTCATAATTAAAGTTTAATGTATAGTGAGTTAGAATGGGGCAACCTTCCTAAGCAAAGATAACACATATATAGTGGGTTAGAATGGGGCAACCTTTAATAAAAGAATGCGTCTAAATTAGTATTATAACTGAATAACATTTTCGCTTAATCAAATTTCAAAGCTTCAAGAAATGGTGAATGAACATTTTAGTACAAAAGAGTAATCATTCTAGCTTTTAAAAAAAATAAAAAGATCATCCAATTTAGAATAAAAGAGCCAACCATCAACACACGAAAACAATTTAGATAATACACGAAAACAAATGAAAATAAATAATTACATCTAATTTGGAATCCCATTACAGGCAGGCTCATGACAAAAAGCTTTGCCCAATTAATTATTATACAACAATTTACTCAAAATTCTCACTATCATTGTGTTTCTTCAATATACTCATCACAGCAAAAGAATGCGTAATGAGAAACCCAATAAAAAAATGTAAATGCAAAGATGTTATCTTCTGCAATATCATGGACAACTGCCACTTTTATACACCTGAAATTTGAAGAAAAAACAAATTTAAAAGTCAAAGGCAAAATATATCACTCTAATCGAGTGCCAAGGATTCAATAAACAAAACAATTACATGAGATCGAATAATTTAGGTTGGTGATGGGAAGAGATTGTATGTATGTGTAATAAATTTCTATATTACAATTTATTAGGTAGTGCCTAATGAACAATTAGAAGGCTTAACTATAAAGTGAAAATTACCACCACCTCAATAAGATAAAAAATTGGAATGATTGAAGAGATTGTACTTGAGTGCTCAAAGTTGTGATTTAAAACATTTCCTACAAAAACCATGCACGTTGTGTAAAAAAAAACTTGAATGTGGCTTCTTCTTTTTTTTTTAACTTGGAGTGCCATATGCACGGGTGGTTCTTTTACGATGAAATGTGTTTCTTTTACGATAAAATCATGAAACTGTCCTATTTATACCCAAAAGGCAGTATAAGTTGATTTTACTATTACCCAATACTATCAAATCAACTTAATTGAATAAATCTAACAAAGACATGAGTTATTACACATTGTTTTCCTATGCATTTTGTTAGTTTCTTTAGACCAAGAATCAAACCATCTAATTCAAGCAATCAATCAAAACTACACACAATAATATAAAATTCTAAACCTGCCAATCAATAATACCAAGAACAAAAAGAGATTAGATTCCACAATAAACGTATTTAAATCATTACACTATAAAAAAATAGAATTTGAAAGTAAACTAACAAATATAAAGGTTCTCTGTTAAACCAACCGATAATGATGAAATTATAAACAACCAATTAGAGGATTCTATGTAAATAAGAAGACTTTTGTTAATGAGATTAATCAAAGATTGAACAGGATGATACTACAAATCCAAATAATTAAGTTATGAAATTCAAAACCAATTAACTGAAGAAAGAAAAAAAAAATCTAATATCTATCATTAACACAAAGAAGCCATGAATTTGAAATCTTAGTAAATAAAAACTTTGACTTAACTTCTGTAAGTCTAAAACAAATTCACCCATGAATTTACCTTTTATATCAATAACTCATGCCAATTAAACAATATCAATAACTCAATAAATCAAAATTTTCTAGATATTGAATTTATAATTGGTTTATTGAATTTATCTTCTTACTTATATTGGTAAAGTTTCGAATTCCATAGAAATTGAATACCTTTGTATCAATTAAACAAAACCAAAATTTCAATTGAGATACGGGGTGGGAGTGAGTGGGAATCATTCCATTATGAATCTTCAGCCTAAAACAAAATCCAAACACAGGTGGGTTGAACTGGTGGTGTATGATGAGATTACAAATGTACATTAAATATCGAGAGAAAAAAAAATAAAGGTTGTACATTGTTTTCCTATGCATTTTGTTAGTTTCTTTAGACTAAGAAATCAATCAAAACCACACACATAATAATATAAAATTCTAAACCCGCTAATATCAATAATATAAAATTTAAGCTAAAGATACATTGTTTTATGTCAATATCAATAATTTGCCAATCAATACTATCAAGAACAAAAAGAGATTAGATTCCACAACAAACATAGTTAAATCATTACACTGAAAAAAAATAGAATTTGAAAGTGGACTAACAAATAGAAGGCTTCTTTGTTAAACCAATTTAAAAAATTCAATTTAAATTACCATGCTTCATATACAAAATGATTCATATACCATGTTAATTTAAACTAACAAAATGCATAGGAAAACAATGCTTCACACACAAACACAATGTTTCATATACAAATTACTATAAATGTAAATAAAGCAATTAAATTGGAAGTGATTTTCTGTTTTTAAACACTCTTACTGCAATTGAAAGCTTCTTAGATACAAAAACAATGCTTCTAAACTAAAATAAATAAATAAATATATCCAAAAGAATCACCAAAATATATCTTTTAGAAATGAAGAAGCACCAAATCCAAAATCAGTAAGAGCACTTCTCCAAACAAATCACCAAAATATATCTTTTATAAAAAGTATAAGAACATTACCCCAAAACAAAACCCACTGCTCACATCCTCTACACCACAACTCATCATTCTGCAAATCACCACTGAATAATGTGCCAGATAAAGATTAAGTAAATACAAAAGTATTTAATAAATACCAAAAATATTTTATTTTCAGCTTAATGTTAACAGTTAGGTTAACCTTTCACATTAACCCATTTAATGTTAACAATCCTTAACCTATTTGACTAACCTGGGAAAAAAAAAATATGGGTTTTAACATGAAACCAATTTTTTCCTCAACCCCCATTTGATTTGATAGAGAGTGAGAGCATTGTTGTTGATGGCGGGGATGATGGGATGAAAAAAAAAAAAATAAACAAAACAAACAAACAAATTATCCAAATTTGTAGATTTGTAGGGAAAAGATAAGTTAATTATTGATTCCATTCACAGATAAATTCAGCACTGGCAAAGTATCCTAATTTCTTAAATTTCGGGCTAAGATCCATGTACCGAAAAATGGAATGCTCTAATAAATTTTAAAGAGAGAAGTTGAACCTCATGAGGAATGAACAAATAGTCATATTGAAGTTGTGTATGTGCGTGTGTGTGTATGAGAGAGAGAGAGAGCTAACCTATTGAGCATTAAGAAACAGATGATTTGTTGCCGTGATGTTGCCGATTTGGACCCACCAATCTAGCAAGGCTAGCACCCAACAGACCCACCCATGTAAGGATAACCTATGGCTGAAGGCACTGCGAACAAATTTGTTTTGATACCACACGTGCTACAAAATTCAATTAGAATCAATCAATTCAAAATTATAATCACTCCAATTTAAAACTAAAAAAAATAACTAATAAATTTCAAATCTTTTATTTCCTAATGAATTTATCATGAATGTAAGCTTCCCACCTCATTCACATAATTGAGGTGGTGCCTTCGAGAGTTCCCACCTCATTCTCTAACATAATTTCAAAATTAGCCATGTTTAACAAATAGTTCAAGTCAGTCTAATAAAACATCAAATATCAATAGGAATAGTTCAAATCCTTCCAACTTTTTCACAGTTTCAACTAACTGCTTATAAATAAATGAAATAAAACTAACCCAAGTTACTTTGAAGACTAACCTTATTGTTGATACCAGAATATCATGGATGATACAACAAATCCAATCTACTTTCACAACCAGCTGTGTTGGAATGTCAGAGGTCCTGAAAAGATAAATGAATACAGAAACAAATCATGAAAATAGTGCATCAAAATACATGGGTCTTTCTTAATCAAAAAACATAAAATCCATAACCATGATCAAATAAGGAGGGGGGAACTACAGTTAAGTATCTAAATATTAAGAGACAACAATACTATAACATCCTCCTCCTTCAACCCACTAATAAATTAGTCTTTTTCAATGTAACTCTAACATCCTGCACAATAGGCACTAAATTTACGCAAAAATCCATGTCAAGCATATGTGACTTCCACCAAAATATGCAAAGATACTAAATTAAATTGTTACAATTAAATGTAGTGAATTTTCAAGAGCACTTTACAGTCCACACTAAATAACCATCCATAAGGTCCAATATTTTACATTGATAAGAGACTTTACAAAAATAGCAGTAGGAAGCTTTACATAAGTGATTGACATCAAGGATATACTTTACAAAATATTTGTTGACTTTGCAAAATGTATGCCATATAATGTCTTCAAACTCATTCTTTTACAAAAAGTACTTGGACGCCTTCAAACTTGTTCTCCATCACATTTTGAAATGACCATGTATCAACTTCTGTGTACTTTTTCCAGCAAGGAGCATGCACAATAATCTAATGTTTAAAAAACAATAACATTAGCATATTAAAACAATACGAAAAATAGCTATTGAAATAATATGGAGAAAGGATACCTTGTTACAATTCCATCGGAGTAATATAGTCTTATTTATCCTCTTTAGCTCCATAGCTTTTTCACCCCAATCCTACAAAAGTTTGACTTGATCATAATTTAAACAAAATTTTAATTAAAATACCCTTTAAATTTATTTCCTTCTTCATCATTTGTATTCTTTTTTAAACTTTAGTTACTTCCCTCTTCTAATTGGAAAATTTTATATATCTTTGTAAAAAATCCTCTATAATTTTTTTCTAGTGTATTGTTTTTTAAGGATGCATAATCTAGTGTATTGTTTTTTAAGGATGCATAATTAGTAATATTAAGGATTAAAAGCACTATGCCCATCATCACAAAGTTTACAGTAAAAAAAAATTACACATAGATTATGCATGCTTCAAAATATCACACCCCCCCATGATTTTTATTACACATGCTCCAAAACAAACTTGAAAAGAATCATAGCACCTGTGTATTTTTTATTCCCTTTCTTGGGTAGTTTTCCTTTCTTTTTCCTTTAAGCTTCTCATTTTCCTTTACCCTTACCTTTTCCTTTGCCTTTTAAAAAATAAGAAAAAATTATTAAGGAAAAATATGAGAAGCAAATAAATTTGATTAGTGGGCTTACCCCACAAGCATAGAGAAAACTGAATACCAATGGCATTTATGTTTAATCAATTTGATTATGGATCACAACACTGACATTTTTGTATTGAAGAAACTAAATCTGTGTATATATAGAAATGCATTTGAAAGGTAAAAGAGAAATTATATTAAGAAATGTAGATTAAATAAAAAAATTAGTATATAGATCTAATATTACTGTTTCCTCCAACATATCATATACCTGTAAAAAATAATACAAAAGCATTTGATTATGAGAAAAATCTTAAATAATAAGTAAGAAATTAAGCCTTGATTAATAAAATATAAACTAAACATGAATGTTGTCCATGATTTAAATTAAAATGAACTCCAAGGTTGTTGAAGAGGTTGTTCAAGATCTATAGTGAAGAAATAACTCATTTAATAGTGCTATAAATAGATTGGGTTTAAATACTAATGGGATGTACAATGATTGTTTGATTATTTAATTGCGCCATAATTTAAGTACAACAGGCTATTTCTTTCTCTCTATAATTCTAATTTCTAGCAATCAAATAAAAATAAAATATCACAGAACACTACTTTACATGTTAGAAAAAGGAAATCCAATTCACACATTTATCAAAATGACCCAAATCATTTATCAGAACACTAATTATATTTGAAACACTTCAATCTCATTTATGCTTTATTTGGTTCACTAAAATGGTTATTCCTTACATTTCCCTATGGAATAATCATTCCCTTATAATGGTTAATGATGACTCCCATTGCAATGAATTTTTCATTATTCTTTTAGTCAACCAAACATGAGAAGTATAAGGAATCTTTACACTTTATTACAGTGAACCAAACACTACCTTAGAGTTTAATGTGACATTTTATTCCAGAAGATTACAACATGGGGAAAAGGAAAACAGGGAAAGAAGCTCAATCAAACTGTCAAATAAATAAAATGGAAAAACAACATTTTTCCTTCCTCTAATCAATCATCAATTTGAAGACACTGCAAGTCGAAATTCCAAGCTAATCTAAATATGCAAAATTCCTTTCAATCCAGTACACCACCTCTATGGTAGTGATGTTGTACATACAATTGGTCGTTCAATGAGTTTTGGTCCAAAGTCTACCCTTTTTGGCACTAATTTTTTTGGCCAAGCACATCTTATAAGAGAGAGGTTACATTGCAAGAAAAAAATATTGACATAGAAAGAAGCAAATCTATGTAGAACTAAGTTAGAAGTTAGAGTTAAAGACTTGTAGACGTGCCCCGAACGTCCCGGGAGGGAATCCCGTTCTATTCATTGTGGGTTCACTACAGTTCAGACTCAAATGTCACGGTCCTTAATCTAATCTCGCAAAGTGCAATGCGAGATTGATAAATCACCAAAGAGTCTAAATCCGGCAAATCGTTTTTGAAAAACTGATTTTTAGAAAGAAGTGTCAAACATGGACTGCTTTCCCAGATACAGAGTCGCCACCTAAATATTTTATTTTGGAGAATTTAGGAAACCCTGACTCGTTTGCCTAAGGCCACGTATCCGTCATCACCAAAGTTGCCTCGGTTTGGGAACTTGGGTACGATTGGAAAAGGTCACTTCGTGAGCACCCCCGCTCGCCCGATCAAAGATCGGCCTCTACTAACCATGATATCGAGTTTTGAAAACATTATGTGCTCTTATTCCGGTTATTAGCCTAGATTTACTACGTGATGCACACAGCATACAAGTATAGATTAGATCGCCTGAATTGGAACAAAACACCACATGTTTGCTTTTGAAACGGTTTGCTACTCGCAAGTAGGCTAAAATGCGAATTTGCCACCCTCGGGTGGGCTTAGAAAACATGATTTTGCCACTCTCAAGTGGGCTTAAAACTCTCATTCAATGCATTGTTCCAATTCAAATCACCCAACCTCCACCCACAGGCATTCAGGCAGTTATATCACATAAGCAAATAGTCTCATGGTAAGCATGCTATCATGGCAGTCACTCACACGCATGCAAGGATGCTAAAGCATAAACACTCACCGAGTACTCCAAGCCAAAACAGAAACTAGTTAGTAACCAATGCATGATCCTAGGTCATGTTAAGATGGCTAATGTAACACATGCAAAATGCAACTCAGATAGGCTCGGCTATTCTAAACATGGCATATGAAATGCAACAGATAACATGTATTCAACTTGGAATTGAAATACAATACAGTTAGTATGATGCGCCGAGCCCGGTGCATGCAAGACAGATGAATGGATGCAAACATGCGAGCATAAGTATGCTAATTGAAACATACCCTAATCTAACCATCATAAGCTGGTAAATAAAAGGGAGGAAGACGTGGGGTTGGAAGACATACATCACACACATGCACACTTATTACAATTATGCCCTCGCTCGGAGGGTCCGAATAAATAATACAACACAAATAAATAATTAACTACTCTAGCTAATTAAATATTACAAAATCCTAAATTAATTAAACTACTAAAGCAGTAAAGCTGCCTCGGGAAGAGGGTCAAATGCTTGCATGCTCGATTAAATTAATTAAACTACTAAAGCAGTAAAGTTGCCTCGGGAAGAGGGTCAAATCCTTGCATGCTCGATTCGCCTCACTTGGAAATCTGTCACCATGCCACATGTTGCCTCTGTTTACACTACTCTGCACCTCTAAAGACTGCACAAGTCCTAAGGCTGCTTCTGGACCACCTTCTGAGCACTGTGGAAGGTCACTGACCAAGAGGAATAGTCACCGGCCATGGAAAAGGTCATCGACTAGTTGTATAGCTCTCAGCCAGAAATGAATAGCCGACCGGCACTGAATGTGGTCGGTCGGCCAACTCTTCCTGCAGAATCCTGTTTTGTAGCAGCAGAGGGCAAACAGAGTATGGCAATGCATTTTCAAAGCAATGTGTTCATGACCACCCTCCTTATCATGTTATGAACTCAAAGGAGGATGGTCCTCGACCCTCGGGCCACCAATCATGCATTTTCATGCATGATGGCCAAAGAGTCAAGTGTGCAACTCAATATGGAATAAAATGCACAAAACACATAAAGGGCCCCAACCTCTATCATGATTGATCAAGAGGCAAGAGATGCACACACAAAGCAATGCAACCTAGGCAAGCAAGTAAGCATGCAAATAACTCAAGTGTGCAACAAATCTAATGCAACATGAGCATGTTAACATGCAATATGCAATAGGCATACAACCTAAACATGTGGACATGTATAGCATGCAACAACATGCAAAATGAAACAAGTATGCAACAACATGGTAAGATGAACTTACACTAACATGGGTAGCTCTCAAGCATGCCAAAATCAGTGGCCAAGATGATGAAAACAAGGCACCGAAACTCATGCAAACATGCACAATGCAATGGCCCCGAGCCTAAAGCACAAGATGCAACTCTCCAAGAGCATGGCAAAGATGAAACATGGCATACATTCCAGCTCTGAAATGGTATATTAAATGACTCGAAAAATGACTCCGAAGCATGCAAACACTCATGTAATGCATTGTTAAAGACTTAAGCACCGAAGCTAGTGAAGTGCAATACACTATAGACATGCAAAGCGATGCTCAAATGATGAAACCAACCCCAAACAGTCCCTATGCAGACCAAAATCAGTGGCAAAATGTGTTGGGATGGTGGCTCGGAATGCATTTACATGAAGCTCATGCAATGACTCATAAATGGGGTGTACAACCACAACTCTAAGGAGCGCTTAAAACATGAAAAATATGGAAGTGTAGAACCTCTATAAGCTCTGAAATATCATACTCAATGATGCCAACACATGCGAATACTTCAAGTTAGGCATGCAAGAGTGCTCAAAACTCAAAACTAGTCAATGCTATTACACAACAAGTATGCATGGCAAGCATTTTTCGACCATGTGGCCACAAAATAGAGCTGAGGCAGCCCAAATCATGAACAAAATCAGTTTAGACCAAGGTCAAAATGTGCTAGAATGGAGGGCCAAAACAACATGCAATGTAAGCTAGTAAGCATGAGTTACACTATAAGCCTATAAAGCATGTGAGGGACCACCAAACCAGCCAAAAAAAGATTCATGGCATGCCAAAATATGACAAAAAACCCACTGAAATGAGGCCAACATGAGCTAGAAGGACATGCTCAAACATGAAGCAAACAAGACTAGTTTGCAAAATTTACACTACAAGTGTACACACCAAGCATGGATTGACCAAGATAGGCAAAAACAGTGGCATATGACAGAAAAATAACCACAAATACCAGCTAAGACATGGCCAACATGAACTTAACAAAGGTGCTCACATATGAGGCAAATATGACAAGTATTGAAGACAACAAGGAGAGGGGATGGCCCTCTCCTTCTTAGGACCTCAAAACACCATCCCCACCACTGAAATCCCTCTGGATTTTAGTGGTGAGAAGTCCAATACAATGTGGTTCCGAAGCTCACAAAAAAGGTACAAAAAGAAGGCCAAACAAGGCCTAAGAGGGGGTAAGCAACCCCAAACACAAAAGTGATCTTAAACAAAGATCAAAAGCATGCAAAATCAGAACTTTTATCAGTTATACACTAAGCTCAAAATAGCATGCATGACAGGCTAAAAGCTTGTGCAAAAATGGAGAATAAAAGAGGGAAAAGGAGTGTTACCCTTGTAGCCAAGAACTCCAGCAGCTCTAGACCCAAAAACCAGTCCCTTAGCCTCTGAAAATGGCCTCCAAGATGCTTAGACCGAAGGTGGAAGGGTTGGGCTAAGAGTTGTAGTGCAATGGGGCCAAGAACCTTATATTTTTGAGCTAAAATGGAGGAGATATAGAGAGAGATATATGTGTATGGAGCCTTGCCCAAAAATCTGAACCTTTTCTAGTGAGGGAGAGGTTCCCTCTTATAGAAGAACAAAGGTCCAAGCTTCTCTTAGAAGCTTGGAGCAAAGGGCCAAGCTTCTTAAGGAAGCTAAAGCAAAAAGGGTCAAGCTTCTTGAGGAAGCTAGAGCAAAGGGGTCAAGCTTCCTCAAGAAGCAAAGAAAGGTTCAAGCTTCTTGGAGAAGCTAGGCAAAGGTTCAAAAAGGTCAAGCCACCCCCCAAAAGCTAAACCAAAGGTTCAAAAGGGTCAAGCCTCCCACAAGAAGCTAAACCAAAGGTTCAGAAGGGTTAAGCCTCCCCAAGAAAAGGTCTCAGCCAGAAAAAGTGGCCGATTGATCAAAACAATGGCCGGCCGACCAAAAACAATGCTGACCGGCCAACACCAAAAAACAGGGCTGGTGGCCTCAGGCCATGGCCGGTGAGGTGTGGGGATGGCCAACAAGCCATTCCCTGCCCTTAGAAGCAATCACACAAGTGAATAACAACAACAACCATTATACAATGACAGAATCTACGGAACAGTCCGGATACAATAATTAAATGGGAAAAGACCAGGGTCGCTATAAACACGAACATGGATAATCATCGAGTGTTCAAACGATGACGTCCAAGTCTTGAGGACGGTCAAAAATGGGGTGTCTACAAGATCCAAAATATAGGAGAAGCAAATCAATTTATAGCAACAAATAAAACATATTTTCATAAACTTCAATCCCATTTCATTTAGACTACAACTCTATAGTTTCTAAAAATATATATAAATATAAAAAATGGCTGGTGTAGATTACAGATATAAGTAGGACATTTCGCAAAGTGGCCAACCACTTTTAAGCAGAACATATCCCTAATTATTCCCAAAAAAAAAGAAAAAAGAAAAAAGAAAAAAAGAGCCCATTATTGACAAAAGTTATAAAGTTAATTCATATACCATGAATAAAATATATCATTGAAGGAATTAATAAAAAATCACATAGATATACAAATGCCAAACTAATAACCTACCAATCATTTTTCGCCATCAAATTTTACTAAAATTAAACAATTTATCAAAATGAGCTGTGTTTCCAACTGAAACTATCAATAAAACACATCAATCACTTACTACTTTGCTTTGTAGAATCTATTTATTAAAATTAACAACTAATAAAAGATTTGCAAATCTACACAGTTTGAAAATAATAATTTGACTCTAAACATTAAATAAAAATAATGAATCAGAAGACAATATTAATGAATCTTACCATTTTTCTTAGAAATTAATAAATCCCAAAATTTTTAGATATGCCACATTACCCCAACCTTGCAAAAGGTGCAAATGAGTAGAAACATATGTAGTAGTAAAGTCAACAAACAAAAAATATATGTATTTCATAAAGTCAAGCTCTATACAACCAACAAATAATTTCATCCACCAGGTGGTCGACCGCTAAAACATCTCCAAGATATAACTAAGCTAACCTTTTTTTGACAAAAGATAGACATGAGAAAGAAATATTTCAATGCACATAAGAAAATATTATAAGAATTGAATTATTAACCTTAAAAAGATCTAAGAATTGTCTTTCCAAGATTTTTTCATTTTTGGAAGGAAAAAAAAAAAAGAGAGGAAAAGATAAAATTTGAACCGTTGGATTAGAATATAAAATCTTAGCCTATGATTCAATTTAACGGTCCACCTTTTGACACGTAAGACAAAAGTCCCATCAAATTCATCAAGTCAAACTCAACCAAGTAAAACCCAATCTCACAATTTCAAAAGCTATGAAATTATCCTCTATTTTTTTCAATAATCAAATAGCCAAAAAAGCCAAAAAAAAGAAAAAGAAAAAAAAAGTATTCACGAAAAAAAATCCTCAAGCCAGCATATCATTATCATACACATATTAAACACACTTCAATCTCAAATATTTCTTTCTCTGTAAATCTCCTATTACACTGTTGTTTCTGAAATTCTATAGAATTCACAATGTTATTTTCTTTTCCTGAATGGGTGATCTTTTTAGATTTATGTATTAGGAACCAATGGATATTTCATTAATATTTTTGTGTCATCAACTACTATGCCCACAAGTGTATGCGTAATTGCGATTGCGTACATGAGACACAGACACAGACACAGACACACACACACACACACACACACACACACACACAGAGGCTTATTTGGTCAATAATGAAGATTTTAACTGGTGTTGGGTTAATGATGCTTGAATATAATCATCAGCATGTGATGATGACGGGGAGATGTTGGTGATTGCGATGGTATTCATTGGTGTGACAGTGGTTGGCAATGTCATTTAATTGAATTAATAGCTTGAAAAGAGTAGAGCATAGAAAGGGCAACTAACAAAGGGAAGAAGGTTAGCAATGAAGTTAGTTATTACGCAACTAATAATTCTATTAAAGAAATATTTAGACCAGTACAACTGTGTGAATCAATTCAGCATATGTAAATTGTTATTTTTGAAAGCCACTTTAACAAAAATGGCCAGTTTACATAGTAGAAACTTCAGTTCAACAACGAATGCAGATCGCATAAAAAAGGGAAAAAAGGTTTGATAGTGGCACTAACAAAACAATTCTAAAATATAGTGTGTCTGGAGGTTCAAACAAATACCTGAAGCACACAACATAAGAATAATGCAAATCATAATAAAAAGAGGCGAACTTACGATCACGATCTGCTTCCTCTATTATCTCTTGAATCTCCTTGTCAATAAAGCTCTGGCCCAGCTCCTTTGCAATTCGTTGAATGTCTATGGCAGATATTGTTCTCTATATTCAAATGACAAAAAAACAGTTAGTAAAAAAAAAGGACAAAATAAGGCAAGCATAATCATATTTTCACACATTTTTATAAGCTCTTCTTTAGTGTGGAATGCTTTCATAAGCTCTTCTTTATTTTCACACATCTTTAAAAAAAAAAAAAAAATTAGTAATGTGGAATGCTTTCATAAGCTCTTCTTTAGTGTCCCTTTCTCCAATCTTGGTTGTCATCATATGCACAAACTCATCAAAATCAATTGCACCACTACAACAATATAATTCTATATAAAATTATTTGAGATTGATGTAGAACTTGAAACATGTTTAAGGAGGACATATCCTTAATTGACCAAACACTTTCTATACTGCCACCAAAGTGGATATCAGGTTGTCGATTGGCTCAAAATTTATAGGTTGCCAAATAATAGAATCCATGATAGCAAAACAAAAGACATCCAAAAAAAGAGCAAAACAAAAGACATCCCAAAAAATTAGAGTAACAATTTTGAGCCAATCGACAACCTAAAAATTTGGACTCTTAGGCTTGCTAGAAATGAATTAATATTCAACCACAAACAACCAGTATGCAGCAAAATACAATCATGGACAGGGTATTTTGACTGTTGAAAGACTGTTGATGCAAAGAATGGCTCCTGGGTATTTTGACTGTTGGGAAAGTTTTGATACAAAAAATGGCTGCTGTTAACAAAAATACAATCTTTTGTTAAGCTCATACTAAGTTTTTGCTACAGCTCTTTTTTTACTACAGCTCTTTCATGGCAGTTTGTAACAATTTGTAAACAAACTTTGCTTACATATGGTTTCATTGATAATTTTGTTTGTGATACATTGATAACTTGATAAAAAAAAAAAAAACAAAGATAGAAATATTTTGTGATACATTGATAAAAAAAAAAAAAAAGATAGAAATATTTTCAAACCCTTATAAACACAAAAACAAAAACTGTCTGACCCAAATATTTTCAAATATTTGTTTGACTAATCCCCAAAATAATTGTTTGATTAATCCCCAGAAACTAAGATAAGAGAAAACAACAAACTAAGATGAACAAAAAATAATGTTTTAAGGCACTAAGATGAACAAAGAAACTAAGATGATATCAAAAAATCTGACAACAAACTAAGGGTTTAAAATTGGTTTTGTTTCCTATGTTAAAACACAAACACAAACACAACCCTTTATTGGCAAAAAATTATCCGATTTGTAGATTAATATGAGAGAAAACAACAAAGAAAATAAATAAACAACATTTACCCTGTTTGTGGATAAATGTCAGCACCAATTTACAAAACTCATCCATGTCATAATGGGTATAATTAACCACTAATAAGGACACATCTTTTTACTTGGCCAAGGAAGCTCTGTTTTTAACTACTATGGATGAGTTGTGTGTTACTGAGATAATAAGCATGAAAACAATAATAAGGACACATCAAAACACTAAATATTGGCCAAAGAACACATCCATGCATAACACTCCATTCAACAAAACTCATTTACAAAACATAATCCTAGTGAAAGATATAAAGGAAAGATACATGCCCTGTTTTTGGGAAAATGATAGCACCAATTTACAAAACTCATCCACAAAGGCCTATTAAGTCATGGAAAAATTTAATTAAATGCTCAGATATGGACAATTTAAACTAAACAATTAGAACCCATCACCAAACTCAAGCAAGAACCAAAAATACATATTGAGTCCAAAATCTCTAAAACGCAATAAAAACCCTCAAAAAATGAACAATATTGTAATCCAAATCCAAGAGGAGAGAAACTCACAAAAATATCATGGATTGCAAATTTGTAAGTTGTAGTTTACCTCTGAATGGCTGCGATGTTGTCGAAAGAAGAGAGAGACGAAACAAGAGGGCGAGAGAAGAGAGTCAGTGGTCGGTGGTCTTTACCTCTGAATGGCTACAATGTCGTCGCAAGAGGAGAGAGGTGAAACAGGACAACCAGAGAAAAGAGTCAATGGTGGGTGGTCGAGAGAAGAGAGGACAGCAAGAGGAGAGGAAAGGTGGTCGGTAGTCGGTGAGTGGCAGTGTCGTCATGAGAGGAGAGGGAGAGAGAGAGAGAGAGAAGAACGTATGAAAGAGGGAAGATTTCTCTGAAATGAGAGAGAGGGAGGATTTGGGCAGAGACGAAAGAGTAGATAGAAAGAGCATTTGGGGGGGAATTGATTCAGCCGTTCTGCACAATCCAAAGTGAATAACACATTTTCAAACTTTGACTTGTTTTCAAACTCAACCATTGGATTGAATTAATCTGAGGGTGCAGATTTTGACAAATACACAAAAGTCCCATCAAAAATAAAAAACCGAGCTTCCTTGTTATATAGATATACATACATCCATAATCATATATAAAAATAAAAATAAAAGATTAATTTAACTCCTATCTATATTGGTTAAATTTGAAACATTAGCTAAAAAGTCAAAAATTAATACAAAAAACCAACCCATTCTTTTCTCAACGCACAAAAAATGTATGTTTCTTTTCTTCTTCCAATTTCTAATTTTTTTTCTAAAAAAAAAACACCCTCTGTTTCGTTATGTAAAATTAGAATTCTTTACTCAGAAAGACCCACTTCAGTCTTCGTTCCATAGAAAATCTTTTTATAAATCAAAAGCTTTTCAAAACCATAGAAAGTCAACACCCATTTCCCATTAAAGAATCAATCCCATTTCATAAATCAAAACCATGTGAGCAATCAAACATTTCCAATTAATTTTATAAATGCAGAACTCAATGCATATAAATATTAGATTGGGATCAAACAACTTTAATCCTTACTCTTTTACAAATTAAAACCATCTTAAAACCCATTTCAAAACCATCTTCAAAACCCATTTTAGATCAAGTAACCATAATCGTATCTATATATAAAAGAGTTGATTCAATATTTGGGATATCTGCATTCTCAATATTTGCATTGTCCCTAATCATATATAACCAAATGTCATATGGACTTGCACTTCAATTTTCAAGTTTTGGCCCAAAAACATAAAATCGATACACTAATATGGAACCAATTAAGGCCATAAATAAGTTGTCACAGCAGAAGTTATTAAATGGGAAGACTTGCAACTTATTATGATTATACCACATGTAAACAGATACATATAATTGTTTTACATATTTGATAATACATTCCGATATGTACTAAAACTTCATAAAATGGATGCTTAAATCTGTTCACTAACATGCTCAAATTTAGTGCGCATTCATACACATTTATCAAAAGAAACACCACAAAAAAAAAAGGCAATTATGTTTATTACTATCAACATATCGATGGCTCCTACATTATTGTTAGGAATCAAACATATCGATGGCTTAAGCTTTCTTAAATTTTATGGTTTAAATGGAACTACAACCTAATAACCTACCAATCATTTTCCATGAATAAAATATCTCATTCAATGAATTAATAAAAAAATCACATAGATATGCAGACACCAAACTAATAATCTACTAATCGTTTTCCGCCACCAAAATTTTCTAAAATTAAACAATTTATCAAAATGAATTGTGTTTCCAACGAAAACTACCAATAAAACACATCAATCACTTAGTACTTTGCTTCCAAGAATCTATTTATTAAAATTAACATATAACAAAAGATTTGCATATCTACACAGTTTTAAAATAATAATTTGACTCCAAACATTAAATAAAAATAATGAATCAGTCTAATATGAGGACATTTTCAGGTATTGGTAACACAATCCAACTCCAAACAACATGAAAAGAAAATATTAATGAATCTTACCATTTTTCTTACAAATTAATAAATCCTAAAATTTTTAGATATGCCACATTACCCCAACCTAGCAAAAGGTGCAAATGAGTAGAAATATATGTAGTAGTAAAGTCAACCAATATATACTTCTACACATAAAGTGGACAAATAGATAGAAAAGCAAACAAAAAATATCTATAGAGACAATGTTTAAGTAAGAACACAAATCAAATTCTTACCACAATGTTTCGATATAAAAGGTCTTAAGGAAGTCCACAATGCTTCAGACACAATGTTTCAATCACAAACTGTAAACATCAATAAAGCAATTAAATTGGACAACCTGTTGTCAATATTATTGAGTAACAAACCTGCTGGAATTAAAGATTATTGAATCAAAAGATATTCACAAATTAGAGTAAAGATTATTGAAACAAAAGATATTCACAAATTAGAGTAAAGATTATTGAAACAAAAGATGCTGAAATAGATGAGGTTTAAAGAGAGAGCAAGAGAGAAGTGGCATTACCTTGATGGTGGTCCGTTGAAGAGAAAGCGAGAGAGAAACGGGAAGAGATGATGCTGCAGAGCCGCTGTCATGCCCCAAACCCGCCCCTAGAAGTTTGGGCATGACCACTTCAGAAACGGACACTTAACCTATTTTATATATATATATATATATATATACATATGGGGCCTGAACGGAAGCACTAAATATCAAAACTTGACAATGGAAACAAACTCCATCGAGCTACTACTATCATGCCAGGATCACAAACTTTTAACAGACAAATAAAATCTAAAACATACACCTGAACATCAGTTATATATATACATATATACAGACCTAGCCCTATCATTGGGCATATACAAAAACATGAAAGCTATATACATCAATCTTAGATAGACATTCAAAAAGCAAGCCAACATCTTATTAGTTTACCAAAATCAATGGCTGTGTATAGTGCCAGGACACACGAAGGTTGACAAAAGAAATCGGCATCATGGCTAGGACTGACCACCTGATTGGTGACCTATAGAAACAGATATAACAGAGAGTGAGCTGGGCTCAGTGAATAGTAATACATAAATAAAACGATGCTTAACTTGAAACATAACACATAGCAATGCATATAAAGATGTAAAGTTCACATAGTTAGTCTGATTCTGTGCTAAGTACATAACGGTTCAATCTTGAAACATAAACATGGTGGCTATAAGCCCTTGAAACATGGTGGCACAAGGCCCTTGAAGCATGTGGCATTAAAGCCCTTGAAACATGTGGCATAAAAGCCCTTGAAGCATATGGCATGAAAGCCCTTGAAACATGTGGCATAAAAGCCCTTGAAGCATATGGCATTAAAGCCCTTGAAACATGTGGCATAAAAGCCCTTGAAGCATATGGCATTAAAGCCCTTGAAACATGTGGCATAAAAGCCCTTGAAGCATATGGCATTAAAGCCCTTGAAACATGTGGCATAAAAGCCCTTGAAGCATATGGCATGAAAGCCCTTGAAACATATGGCATAAAAGCCCTTGAAGCATATGGCATGAAAGCCCTTGAAACATATGGCATAAAAGCCCTTGAAACATATGGCATAAAAGCCCTTGAAACATATGGCATAAAAAGCCCTTGTTATACAGATTCTAGAGGTAACTCGCACTGCAGCACTTAGTTCCGTATAGCACTTTGCTCCGTACCAGAAATTAATAGGTTTTCCAGACCAAACCGTACATATCATGTCATATCATAAACGGAATCAAATCATACATATTTTTTTTTACTTAAATCATAAGCAGAAATCAAAAGTCATATTCGTAACATACTTGAATTTGTAACATACATGAACTTGTACCATGCGTAAACTTATAACATACTTGAACTTGTACCATACTTAAACTTAGAACATACGTAAACTTGTAACATACCTATACTTGTAATATGCTTAAATCTGTAGCATACTTAAACTTGTAACATAATTACTTAAACCACGGTATTATTACCCCCGGGTAAGGGCCGTGTGTTACGGATGTCATGAATACTTTACATTTATGATCAACTGTTCATTAAATCAAAATGTAACATATCAGAACATAGAGCATGCTTAGCAAGGACAGAACAGTTTACATTCTAACGTGGGTTACATAATAATGTTAAACCTTTGTTTTCATATCATAGATTCTAAACGACCTCGAGTCCATACGTAACACAACAAAATAATCTTGGACTCATACAGGTATCATTATTCATGGATGAACATAAGCTCCATTTATTCTTAAGAAGTACATAATACACTGATAAATAACAGAGGTTTAATATTTGTTATTGACAGAACAAAAGGGTTCCAAAGTCATACCGACGTATGCAAATCTTTCCATATTCATAGAAATTCATATTGATTTCCACTTGTCATAAACGTTGATAACACTTACAAAGAACAGAGTGTTAGTGACAATAATTATCAACGATAAATAAGATGTACATTTTTGTACTACTACTCGCAGTGTTCAGGTGCTTGATCCGCCCCTGTAGCTGACCCTACACAATTCACGTAATTCAAACATAATTCATCATAGTACAACACCATTCAATTCACTATGAGTCAACATAACATAATCCAACAAAGTCAATATCACTTAGTTCATCAACACCATTTGTAATTTAACATAATTCAAAATAAATCCTTGAATTCCATTTCAACATTCCAAAACCGAGTTCATATCATCCATATCATTAATAGATTATTTCTCCAATTTTTCCTTCACATTACAGCATGAATTACAATGTTCATAACATAGTTCATTCGCAAATTTTAAACATAATTTTCAAACATTTCCAAATTCCAATTAAACTTGAACACATATAATTCAATACCTCAATTTCATTACTCTACTTTCAATTTAGGCCAATTCATTGGTTATCATCATTAATCAACCTAGGGTTTCAAGAAAATATTGAAATTTCAAGAAAAATTCAAACTTATTAACCCATTACTTTTTATTCCAATTTTCCTAATAATTATACATCTAGGATTCACCATCCATCATTTTAACCCACCAATTTAACTTCCAACATCTCCAATTCTAAACCCCCAATTCTCATAATAAACACTACACTAGATGTTCAAAAAAAAATATGGGTTTTACATTTATATACACCAAAGTATCACAAATCTATCTATCAATGAAAGCATGAAGGAGAACTAAGACCCTACCTCAAGAAACAAGCAAAGGGACGGAGCTTTAATGAGAATCCTTCGCAAATCCAAGTTCCAATCGGTTAAAAATGTTGATCCTTTCTTGTTCTCCATCCTTGATGCAAGAACCATGGTGGATTTGTTGATAAAAGATCAAAGTAGAGGAAATCAAGGTTTTGGGGGCTAGGGTTTCAGACCTAGAAGGAGAGGAAGGAGGAAGGAGATCAAAAATGCCAAGAATGATCCAGAAATGCGATTTAAACTTGCTGAATTCGCGTCCCCCGCTCGAGCGTCTCTTCCCACGCTCGAGCGTACCTGCTTTCAGCACAGATTCCAAAACTTTGAACAGACGTAACTCTCTCATCCGGACTCCGTTTTAGGTCATTCTTGTGGTCAAATTGAAGCCCCGAAGATAAGCTTTCCAATGGTTTTAACCTCACATCCAAATTCAAAGTGTGGAAAAAGAAAAGGGCAAATGAATGACGGCTGATCGTAGATTAACTATTCGAATTATATTCGTTGGTCCAATCTTACTTTACCATCATACCACCACCTCAAACAATACCCCAAAATAAGGTAAGAACATTCTAAATACACTATTAAGAATGTCAAAAATGAGCCCACACTCGAGCGGAGGGAAAAAAAATTTCAAGTCGATACAATAAAGGTCGCCATAACTCAGTAGATAATTCTTTAATTCCGATAGATATAGTTAAATTAAAACACATTAACCCCTAATTAAATAAGGATGACTTTTGGGGTCATTACAGCTGCTAAAATGGATTTCAAATGGGATGAGCTTGCAACTTTGAATAGCACAGTTTCGTTATTAAATTGAATTGTAAACTGAATCAAATGTCTTGTCAAAGCTATCTAAGCTAAAATCATCACCATCGAAAATGATACAGACAAATGTCCCTTCAAAATTAAAAAACGGAGCTTTAAATAATCAAACTCCTTCAAAAATGCTAATAAGATGTGAGTGTTTCACAAAAGAAACCAAAACTCAACATTTGAAACCAAAACTCCACTGCCATAATCACATTGTTGAAATAAAAGCTTCAAACACGTCATGATCAATTCAAGAAAGGCAACACGCAACTCACAACAAAAATAATTAGAAGGATATGATTCTAAGGCTTGAAAAAGGTATTTTAGGAGAACAAATAAATAGAGAAAAAGGTATTTTAGGAGAAAAAAAAACTATGTGATCATCGAATACCCACTTCACTAAATGATGCTGAGACATTCATTCTATTTAAATACCCACTACTCTAACATCCACCAAAACCACGTGTAATGATCGATTTGTTGATCATTCTATCAAAGTGTCTAGATTAATCCCAACACCAACTCCAAAAAACTGTCTAGATTAATCCCCAAAAATGTCCGATTTGTTGATCATTCTATCAAACACATGTGTAATGATCATAATTGATTTGAGTCCAGTAAACTCACACCAAAAAATAAAAAAACAAAACAAAAAAACATGATTGATTTATTTCCTGAACACGTGTCTAGTTGTGTGACTATATAAAGAAAACTTATTGGGTCATTCTATCAAACACTTGCAATACATGACTTATCGGGTCATTCTATAAGATGAAAAAGATGAACAAAAAATAAGATGAAAAAAAAAATATGAGAACAAATTATGGGTTTAAAGACTGTCTAACCCAAAATAGAAATTAAAAAAAAAAAAAACAGATCTGTCTAGATTAATATAGTAAAACATAAATTAAAAAAAAATGGCAAAATAGGCAACTCAAAACAAACCTTCCCAACCATAATTCTAATAATTTGTGGCATTTAGTTATAAGATTTTGTGATGGTCAAATTTATGATAACTTGGTTATTAGACTTTTTGTAGTGTTTATGGTTATGAAATTTTATGATGTTTAATTATAAATTCAAGTGGCCTTAGTTACGAGGATTTTATGATATTTTTTTAAGATTATGAACTACTGTGATTAAAACTTTGGATGCATATGTTTAAATGCTTTTGGAGTGTATATAAATTTAATATGACTTATTGGGTCATTCTATGAAGCACATGTGTAATGATCGTAATTGATTCGAGCCCAGCAAACTCACACAAAAAATAAAAAAACAAAACAAAAAAACATGATTCGTTTATTTTCTAAACACATGTGTTCAGGAAATGGGTTCTAGTTGCGTGCCTATATAAAGAAAACTTATTGGGTCATTCTATCAAACACTTGCAATACATGACTTATTGGGTCATTTTTATAAGATGAAAAAGATGAACAAAAAATAAGATGAACAAATTAAGGGTTTAAAAACTGTCTAACCTAGAATAGAAATAAAAAAAACAAGGCTGTCTAGATTAATATGGTAAAACAGAAATTAAAAAAAAAATGGCAAAATAGGCAACCCAAAACAAACCTTCCCTACCAAAACAAAATATGGTCTAGATTAATCCCCAAAAAACTGTCTAGATTAATCCTAAAAAATGTCCGATTTGTTGATTCATATGAGAGAAAACAACTAAGAAAATCAATAAATTTATAAATGATTAAACAACAAATAAAATTATTTACCTCTGTGGATTTGGAGGAGGGTTCACAGATCTGACTCTGGTTTTTGGATGATTGAGAAAAATTCTTTACCTCTGTGCCAGAGCCACGCTAGGGTTAAAGAATTTACCCACCGGATGATCTGACTCTGGTTTTTGGATGCTTTGACTCTGGTTTTTGGATGCTCGGATCCAGTCACCGGCGAAGTTAAAGAATTTTGGGGCGGTTCAGAGGGATCGAGATGGGTTTGTTGGCGGTTTAGAGGGATGGAGGAAGAGAGAAGATGAAGAGAGTGATAGAGAGAGAGAGAGAGAGAGATTCTGAGCGTGTGTGTTCAAAATTTGTGTGTGTGTGAGAGAGAGAGGGGGAATCTAAGCTTCCATGTTATAAGCCATTGGATGTGTTGAAAATTAGACGTCTTAAGCCATTGGATTGAATTCAATCTAATGGTCCATGTATCGACAAAGGGACAAAAGTCCCATCCGGAGAAAAAATCTAAGCTTTCATGTTATATAGATATATATATATATATATATTTTAAGTTTCTTTTTTTAAAGTATACGTCAATAAATTTGATGCAGCTACGAGCCTTGTTTTGGTGTCCACTCTCATATACAAAATTCAAAATTGATTTAATTCCAAAATAAAATATTTATACCAATTAGTCCTACATATTTTTAATTGTTACCAACAAAATTATTTTTTTTAAAAAAAAAATTTAAAGACGGTGTTACATCCCATCACAGCCAGACTTCCGTCAGAGACTCGCCGGAATGGTCAACATCACCGAGAAGTTGCCAGAATATCGTCAAAAATTCTTCGGAATATCGTCAGAATGTTCTGAACGTCATCGGAAGTCACCGAAATGTCTAGAATGTTCGCTAGATGTTAAGAATATCGACAATGACTCACAGAAATATCCAAAATATTGTCCAAAAAAAGAAAAATAAAATGAGAAATTAAAACAAAAAAACATAGCAAAATGTGCTAAATATTGATAAACTAAAAGAATAAAAAAACCTAAGAACAACAAACAACAACAATGGGGAAAAAACATTTATTATTTTCAATTTTTGTAGGGTTTAAGTAAATAATCTCTAATATTGATCAAATTGAAAAATAAGCTTTGAAACTATAAAATGTTACAGTTTCAAAATATGATTCTATTAAGCATTTATCCTTATTAATCAAATTAAAAAACATATTATGAAATTGTAAAATTTTACAATTCTAAAGAAAGTTATGAAACTGCAAAATTTTACAGTTCTAAAGAATGATTCATTTTAGGGTTAATTACACTAATAGTCCCTATAGTTTGGGACTTGTGTTACTTTGGTACCTGACTTTTCAATTGTAACACATTTAACCGTAAATTTTGAATCTTGTTCCAAATAAGGACAATTGAAAATATTATTAGATTTTTCAAGGGTAAAATCGCCAATTTGATAAAATATAAACTAATTTGACAAAAATTAATGTCAAAAAAATATTTTTAATTTTTTTAAAATTATTTTTATCCACCAATGATACAATTATGTAAAATGAATAAAAATTACATGATTAATTTTTTAAAATTAATTTTATATGATCATCATCCAAACACATAATCAAAATTAATTTGGAAAAAAAAATATAAATGTCTAAAAGATTTATCAATTTTACATAATTTTATTTTTAGTAAGTAGAAATAATTTTTTAAAATTCAAAATATTTGTTTGACATTTATTTTTGTCAAATTAGTTTATATTTTATCAAATTGACAATTTTACCCTTGAAAAATCTAATTATATATTTAATTGTCCTTATTTAGAACAAGATTCAAAATTCAGGGTCAAATGTGTCATAATTGAAAAGTCAGGGACCAAAGTGACACAAGCTCCAAACTATAGGGATTATTTGTGTAATTTGCCC